CTGCCACCATGAATTTTCAGCATTAATGACATATCTTCACAGAAGGCAAATGATGTTTTAACAGCTGAATTATTTTCCAATTTCTTTATCAATAGTTTTAAGGGCTAAGAGACAAAATTGCTCTAATATATGCAAAACATGGAAGCGAGCACTTGAAGGCCGATATCTCAGCCCCTTCCCCACAGTCAGATTTGCCCTGCATGCATTCTCCCTTCAGCAAAGGAAGTGATTCATAATCCAGAGCTCCAGAGGTGGCCTCTGAGGGAATCTTAACTTTTAAAAGATAAACTAAGTGAAGATGTATCAGCTCCTAAAACAGACTAGCTTGGTCTCTGAGGGCAGATTAAAATCAGCTAGTGAAATTACTAGCCAGCAACACTGCATTTTTCTTTCTAGTCAGAATGTGACCTAAAATGATGTAAGGCAAACTGTGATCCAAAATACAATCTCAAACAGGATGTAAGCCAAAGAAAATGGTATGAAAACCATTAGTTCCAACGTGCAAATTACAGATTAAGATGATGACTATACTTGGGGGTATTTTATTACTCTGGGAGTTTGATTAATATATGGATATAATAAAAACATATAATGCACGGGGGGTGGGCGGTTAGCGCAGTTGGTTAGAGTGCAGCCTTATAACACCAAGGTCATGAGTTCAGATGCTGGTGCCACCCAGCCGCAAAAAAAAAAAAAAAAAAAAGTATAATGTATTAGTTGTCCAAATTCTAAACATCTACCAATATTTATAAGAGATCTGTCATAAAGAAACTCAATTTGATGGCATTTTCTATTCTTTTTTGGATGGTGATTTCTTCTTAGTCTCACTGGACCCTGCCCAGCTATCCTGCATTGAAAGCCCTGAGAGATGGCCCACTAAGGGATGATGGAAGTACAGCGGAGGACTCTGCTGGACTCAGGGTTTTCTGTGAGTGGTTGTGTGGTTTTATAGAGAGGCTGGCTGGGCTGGCTAGTATTAACAAAATGGCACCAAGTATGTTTCTCTCGCCAGAAAGAACACTGACAGGTTAAATAAGAATGACAACGCAGCACTGGATCTGCCAAGCACTCAAGGACAGCTATCTCTACATAAGTGGGGCGGAGGATCTTTCAAACTGTATTTTTGCTGACATACACTTTCTCTAATAATGGCATTTTGCTATGATAAAAAAACCCATAAGTATGTGTGCATTTATTTTTCATAAGTTTATTTTTAGAATCCCCCCAAAAAGCAAAGCTCATCACTAAGAATCTACAGTGAGCCACCTAGTTAGACTGTTTGAATATATACCGATATTTATGGATGAAAAATCAATTACGATGATATGAGAGCTTAATTAATCATAGTCTGATATAATCAACTTATTTATAAATCTAGTTAAAGCACACAGGAGATAAACGATTTAAATTCTCTTATAAAACGTTTTCTTATCCTGTAGTCAGATGCTAAGGGATTTGGAAAGAACAAATTTCTAAAGTCTATGAAACTCCAGAGCACCCTCTAGTGGCCTCAGGGGTGGTGGAGAACGTCACTGAGGGAGATGAAAATGCTTCACAATTCAGACTCACATTTTAGGATAGTTGGAGACGTTAAACTCAAGACAACAAACAATTTTTTCTTCCTACAAAAAGGCCGCAATTGAGCTACCTGTAGACTTACAAGTCTGAACATCTGTACTTACAAACAATTTGCTTTTGTAAAGGTACTTGCTTCTCCCACTGGAATCTTTCACTTCTTTACTAAATACTAAGGACATTTCAAAAAGAAAGAGATGCCGTTCTCGACCCTTCCGAATTAAGGTTTTTGGGTCCCACACTTGGAAGGATTCCTGCAGGATGAGTTCTCCCTGAGACTCAATGTTTTCATCAAATCCTACAACACGAAAGAAAAACAATCAATTAAAAAAAAAAAAGATGCACAAGAAAGCATTATTACTGTCTCAACATTTGTAAAATGCCCATCGGTTAGACCTCAGATTAGAGTTTCCCATCTGAACCCGACTCCAGTCTCCCCACCGCTGATCCATCCTACAAAGAATAATTCTTCCTAAAACACCACTTTGCAAGTATCTTCCCTTGTCAACAAAACAAAACAAAACAAAAAACAACGCAATGACTGCCCACTGCTGAATCTTTAAGTGGTTTCCCTTCTGGGTGGCGTTCCCAGCACTGGAGGGCTGGTTTAGCTCCCTCCTCACGCCTTCCCTCCAAGCTCTCTGCAGCGGAAACCTCTCCTACCTCTCCTCCTCCCACCCCCACGATGGTTCCTGACTCTCCTCTAAGCCCCATCCACGTCCCAGCCTGGCTCTTGGCTCTTGACTCTTGACTCTCTCCACTCCATGTCCTCAGCCCAGCACGCCCTTCCCTGACATTCTGCTCAAGTCTTGGCCTTCCTCCAGGCCCTGCTCTGCTCTGCTCTTCTTCGTCTTGGAGACATCCTGGCTGCCTGTCCTTGGGATCCTCCCTCCTGTGAATGTAGCGTTCTGTGTGTGAATCAGTCACCCTCGGCCACGTGGGCCAGTGGCTCCTCTCTGCACTAAGTGGCTACTTTATCACCTGGATGCTAAGCTACCAGGGCTTAGCAAAGCGATACCTGGGGCAGGGGCGGCTTGCTACCTTTCTTCTTCCACTCCCTACTTCTTGTCTAATGGCAGAAGCTCCCTACAGGGCCGCCCCACTCCCCAGCCCCCTGCACAGTTAAGAGCAGCCAGGCAAGGAGTGCCTACAGCTGTAGTCTGCCTGTCCAGGGGTTCCCTCCCTGTCCTCCCTCCCCACATCCTGCAAGATGGTCTTGAAACACCCTGGACCGAGCCAACCAGGACAACACGTAGGATAGAGAGAAACTAGCCAGAATACAGCCACTCTGAGTCCTTGATAAAGTCGGCAAGAGCTAACAAATCACCTCAGCATTTTACATCACAGAAAGAAAAATCACTCTTGCTTGGCCTCTGAGTTTTGAGTGTCCATTACACTCAGCAGCAGCTATCTCTAACTCATATATTGCTCAATGTTACCGATGAAAATGCCACAGGCCAGCAAAAGCATTTGGGTCAGGATTATTTCTTGTAAATAATTCCATATAGCCTGATAATAAGAGTTAAGCTTGCAACACAGAAACAGCTTTCTTAAGCAAAAGCATTCATGGAAATTATAATTACTACAATAATTTTAAAACACATTTACCTAATTTTTTCTAGACCATGTTATACACCAAATTCACCTGCATATGCAGGTATCTGGTACCCACTATGTTCAAGGCTGCAGCAGGTGAGGCAGTGGATATGGAGATGGGGAGGCAACAGCTCTTTTAAGGATTTTAAAGACTTGGGACTCCATCCATCTATCCATCCACCCACTCACCCATCCAACAGGAGAGGAGGCAGTCTAAGTAAGTGACATAAAGTGCTACTGTAGTGAAGGGGCCCTTTTCTGGTTAAGGGATGAGAAAAGGCCTTCAACAAAATAGAAGCATTTTACATGGTCCTTAAGAAACGCAATGAAACCAATTCTTTAAGGAGAAGACATTCACATCTGAACTCTTAACTATACCTAAACATAGAGGCATGAAGCCAAGATTTTTAGGGCTAGGGAAATCAATTTAGCAACAGTGACAGTAGAAATCCAACCAATGCACTCCAGGGATGAGGAGAGTCCTTTACCTTCCAGCATGCTGAGGTGCATGGCATCATTGGCTCGCTTGGGCACGCTGAGCATCACTTCCAGGCCATCCTTTATCTCCCCCTTTCCTTCCTCACAGCACGTGAGCAGCTCCTATAGAAGACAATACCACAGGCTAGGCAAAGACTGGAAAACAACCCACCAACAAGACCTTTGCAGGAATGAAGGCATCTATGAAAACCTATGGTTTTTAAGACAAAAACCGACTGTGGTCAAGTGGGCATATATTCCCATTGAAAATGAATCACTGTCTCTTTATTCAATGGACAGCAGGGTTTGTCCTATTCAAAACAGAACAGAGTAAACCAGATGTAGTCATAGTTTGAGATGCAATCAGTATATCTGTCAACTACCAAGTCTCAAAAATAATAAATAAAAATATTTAATTAGTATACTAATGCATAATCAGCTGCTGGTTAATGCTGATGGTCATGCCAGAGTCTCTCTATTAGGCTTGCCACAGGATCCCAGAGGGATTTTGAACTCTGGTGCCTTTAACACAATACCCCATCTAATCTGGAACAGCAAAACCATGCAGCAGGAACAGTATACCTTGTGAGTACCTACAGCCAAATGCATTTCCTTTGTGCATACGATGTTTAGAAAAGCTCTAGTGGTTAAATTACAGCAGCTCCCTGGGAAGCTCTATATGTGTGATTACATTTCAGAGCTATTTAGAGAAACATCTGTTATCAAATAAATGACAGCAGGAAGAGTAAGTTCACATTCTGGTGGGCTCCAAGATATTTTCTTACAAGTGAATTGATGATTATTATCAGTCAGTAACAGTAACAACAGTTTTCTGTGTGCTGGTGTTCATCGAGAGGAATGTGACACTGCAGTCAGCTTTGGCCTCACATGGGCTAGTTTAGAGTAACTCAGTTACCTGGCAAGCACCTTTACTCATGATCAGATGGTGTTTATTATTCTGAGGAGCTTGGCAAAAACTGCTTTAAAAACTGCTAAAGCAGTTTTTGCCAAGCTCCTCAAAATAACTTCACCAGCAGGAAACCTTCATTGTTGGAGAGCTCAGTGTAGTTCAATGTAGTCCTGAAGACTCTCTGGGGAGAATAAGGTAAGGTTTATAAATTTAAGGACCAGTTTAGTAGAACTTCATGTTAAAAACAAAATCCTTAAATCTTGAAGACATCAACTGCCTTTGCAGAATTAGAAAGCAAAAGGCAAATTTGAATGTAAACAAATTAGCCTCCTGACTTATTTCATGTTCATAGCAACTACGTATTTCTGCAGTGATGGTCATAAAATCAGTTAAAGGGATTTTGATATAAAAGTACAGGAGAGTTTTTTCCAATAGAAAAGTTCCATAATAGTGTCACTTTCATTAAAGAATGTAGCCACTTCTTACTGTTTCCAGATTTTTCTTGCTAACAAAAAGGATAAAGAATAGCTTCAGGCATTCATAACTCTACCTTCCGAATTTCTTTAATATCTAGAAAAATTACATCATAACCTCCTATTGTAGTGCCTAAGGCAGCACCTGGAACACAGCAGGGTTCATAAAATATTGTAACTGGGATGAATGGATGGTTCTAAATTCTCATGCTTGATAAAACTCACTGGCCAAGGAAACGGTGCAGTAAACATCACCAGACAGAAGTTATAAATTACTTTTATGTAATGAAGAAAATGTGTACTGATGATACATGAGTATAATGCATTTTGTGACAATTCTTATCACAAATTCCAAGTTTACTTTTCTATTTTCAAGACTAGTCATTATTAGATTTTTGCAAGTGTGATTTTAATTATAATCATTCACAAACAAGAAAAAGCAATCATTTCAACTCAAATACTTGTGATCTGCATGAATGACATGTTCCTTATGGTGTGTGTGATGAATGACCAGCAGTAATAGAGAGGAAGCTGCGTGAAGGTAGATTCTTAGTGGATTCAATGGAAAACCTCAACATCAGGCAGAACAGGGTTCAAAGCCAAGCCCAGATAATAGGTTTCAGTGATGATTCTGAGCCCACACCCAACTCTCCAATGTAGCTTCTGCAGACTAGCACTGTTGTGAGGTTAATGTATACAAAGTACATACACAGCACCGTGCCTGGCCCAGAGTCAGCGAGCCATAACTGGGAACTGACAATACTAAAATACCAAGAACCAACAATTCCTCATTTGTGTCTCATTTTACGTTAGAGACTAGGGTCAGTCAGTGCAGTCCAGATGCATAATGAGGGAATATACTCTAATTTAACTGCTGCAATGAGAAATTAGGCAGGGCAATAAATGGCAATGAATACAAAAATAAATTTGTTAGGTGTTACTTCAGAAAATCCAGGGTAATATACATAGAGAAAAATGTCAAAACAGTAATGTATAATTCATAAAATTACATAGGCTGAAGATGCTTCAAACATACTTTTAATAGGAGCTGATACTTTGTTATTCGCTGAACTGGTTTAATAAGGTAGGAAGAGATGGAATTGGCTAATCCATGCCGTTGCTGTATCTCCTGCATTAAAAAAAAACAAAAACAAAAAATCTTATTTTAGGGTTACATTATTAAAAAATGGCTATAAGACCACATCACTTTTCCAAATACTTGATAAGTATTTTATTTTGCCGAAATAATAAAGGTCCCCTTTCCTAAATGGCTGTTAAAATATTAACGGAAAACATCTTCGTTTCTGCAATTCTACTGTGGATATGGGAGGGGCACAGAATTGGGGGTAAAAGGGAGGATCTACGTCACTGGTCAGTGGCACATCTAATGCTGTGATTCCCTCTTTGCATTTTGTAACTGAGTTATCCATACTAAGAACCAGCTGGCTGTCTGTGCTCCTCACTGTGAAGGGGACACCCTGTCTGCTACTCACCACTCCATGCTGAGTACCTAGATCAGAGCTCAGAGAGATCAACGAGCAACTGAGAGATGCTCAAGAAGCTTGTTTCCAGAAACAAGTATAATCAAAGGGTAACAGGTGTCTTGGAGAACTGAGGAAGTTATAACAGAAAGCCTCTTTAAAAAATAAAACAACTGTATAGTGAGTATCGAAGGCATGTAATTTGTGAAATCTCTCTTAGACAAGCATGATTTCCTTTATTCTTAAAGATATATTTTAGGGCACAAGGGTTTTTAAAATGTCTTTGAGTCCAAACATTAAATGTGCCACACACACTCTCTCTGCTTAGGCCCTAAATAATTCTAACTCCGCCTGTAGACATGGTGTTTGGTTTCATCTAATGGCACCTGTCTAAGACCTAGGGTCATGTGAAATATTAAAAAGAAAAGGCAGCAGCTGGGCTAGGAGCAGCTTCATATTTACAAAGGCATGAGGTGTAATTACTGGTCATGAAAATGACAACTAAAATAGGGTCATGTACACATGGAGCTTCATCTCAAAGACAGAAACTAAAGTTTATCCTAATTTCCTAGACTTTCAGATAAGAGCAGATTACCACACTTGTTCATACACAAGTGTAAAGACAGAATACAAGTCCAATGTCCTCATGGCCTTATGCACCAAAATATACATACCATTCAAAAGGACCTTATTTTTCAATCAAAATGTATTTGGCCTACGTTTGATCGAGTAAGTTCTGGGAAGCCAAAAAGCATTCTGTAAATTATGTATAAGGCTCCATCCCCTTTTATGCTAAATAATCTCCCTGCAACAGCTTTCAAAAATCAGATGGCTTATATCTACATTTACCCAATGAGAATACAATTCATGAACCTTTTAACCAACCCTAGTTACAGTGCTATTTGTAAAATTTTACTGGTAGGTCACTTTTGGAAATTCATAACATCATGAAATTAAAATAGGAAAAATAAATGATAAAAAAGATCCAAATTTAGTTTTGTTTTATAGAGGAGAAAGAAGCTTAATTTAGTAGTTTATGCCATACACACACACACACACACACACACACA